CTTAGGGATATTCTACAAAATGGTCTTAATATCCTAAACAACTGGACACAAAAATGTGGCCTTGGGGTGAATCCCAATAAAACTGAAATCGTAGTTTTCACAAGAAAACATACGGTCCCGAATCTTTCTCCACCCTCTCTACGAGGTTCTGTGATACATGTGAAGGAGGAAGCCAAATTTTTAGGTATAATTTTCGACAGGAAACTCACTTGGAAGAAAAACACTCTAGAGCGCGCAAGAAAAGCCAATGTTGCGCTTCTTCTGTGTCAGAAAGCTATTGGTAAGAAGTGGGGTCTTCAACCTCGCATCACCCAATGGCTATATATAGCTGTTATTAGGCCCACATTGATGTATGGTATTACGGTATGGTGGACAGCTCTTGATAAATCTTCGTACTATTCGGTACTTAACAGGATTCAACGTAGAGCTGAACTCTGTATTAGCGGGGCGCTATGCACCACACCATCCATTGCACTAGATTTGATGCTTCAGTTACTGCCAATGGATATTATTAGTAAACAAATGGCAGCTTCATCTGCTTTAAGACTAAAAGCTACCTCACAATGGAGAGACAGTGACTATGGTCATGCCTCCATTCTAAATCTTTTCAATTTTACTCCTAAAAACGTTGATTACATCACACCCACTCTCAACTTTGACAGGAAATTTGATGTCGTGTGTCCATCTAGAGAGGTATGGACGTCAGGTGGCCCCTTCTTAGATGAGGGCGTAACCATCTTCACTGACGGATCCAAAACAAGTAGTGGTGTAGGTAGTGGAGTTTTCTCAGAGGAATTGAACAAATCTTCCTTCTTTAGGCTTCCAGATCATTGTAGTGTCTTTCAGGCGGAAGTGGTCGCCATCAGGGAAGCTATAGCTTGTTTGAATGTAGATGATATATTTGGCAGGAATATATACATACTATCAGACAGTCAAGCTGCATTAAAGTCCTTGAGTTCGGTCCAATTTACATCTAGGACGGTTCTTGACTGCTACACATCTCTAAACGAAATGTCGACGCAGCTCAATATTTCTCTAATCTGGGTTCCCGGCCATAGGGATATTTTCGGAAATTGCAAAGCAGACGAGTTAGCCAGAAAGGGTGCTTCAGAACCATACTCGGAGCACCTAGACTATCTGGGCATATCGCTAACATCATGTAAACTGATATTGAGTTCTTTCTGCACTAATACTTTTAATAAAAGATGGGAAGACTCAACGATATGTAGACATCTGTATGCAATCTGGCCACTTTCCGATAAAAGGAAATCGAAAACTCTCATTGAGATGTCCCGCAAGGACATTGGTCTTCTGGTAGGGTTGACTACAGGGCACTGTAAGCTAGGGAACCATGCTAGAAGACTGGGTCTTCCTTTCAACCAAATCTGTCGTAGCTGTGGGGAGGACGATGAGAGCGCATCTCATCTGTTGTGTTTTTGTCCAGCTCATGCACGTCGGCGATTTAGTACTCTAGGGGCCCCCTTCCTTGAGGACCTGGACCAGTTACAGGATCGGGCTTTAAATAGCACTTTATGCTTCGCAAAAGGTTCTAGGTGGTTTTAAACCCTGAGGTTTTTAGTATTTATATACGGCATCACAATGGGCCAATAGGCCTAAGTGGATCCACTAGGGATCACCGGTATAACCTAACCTAACCTATTAGAATCATCAAGCGAAACTGACTCTTCCATTCCATTTTTAAATACTAGTTCAAGTGTATTAAACTCAAGGGATGAAGTGCATCAGCATGGATATAGTGGAAGTTTTGTGGAAACGATCAATAATTCTTTCGTTAAAGATTATTTGATTGGTATTTGCACATAAAAAATACAATTGCTATATATTAATTATGTTTCATATTTTAATAGATTTGTTAATAAATTCCAATAATTAAATGCAAAATAACCGTGATGATCACAATCGGACGAGAGCAATGAAGGAATTTTATATATTTTTGTGGTATATGGCAAATATGAATACTTTTTGCGAATTTGGTATTTGTTTTGGCATACCAAGAGCTTCTGTATGGAGAATAATTGAAAGAACTAGTGTTAAGCGTATATCAATTGGACACTAATTTATAAAATACGCACTTGCTAATAATGCAAAAGTGGAAACTTCGAAAAAATTCCCGTTAGTAATTGGTTGCATAGACAGTACACATGTAAAAATAAATGCACCACACCATAGCAAATAGGCTTATTTCAAAAGAAAGCATGACTATAGCTTAATCTTGCAGATAGTTTGCGATGAAAATGGTTTTTTTATAAACGTTTATGTTGGAGAGCCTGGATCCTTATGTATTGTTCTGTTTTAATTAAATAAATGTATTCAACTTAATTTCATTTCATTTCAAATTAATTGATTTTAATAAATTATCAAACAACACTTTTTCAATAGTAATAAAACGTAAATAAATAAGGTAATAATTTTAATTATAGTAATAGTTAAAACATTATTTTAAACAAAGAAATAAATAATAACGACATATTAAATAAATAAGTACATAAAATAAATAATAAATAAATAAAATCAATAATAAATAAATATAAATGTAGATTTGTTTATAATTTTACTGCACCGTTGCATCGCATTGCCAACCTCATTTGCATTAAAATACGTTCCACTTTTATCTTTTACACACATTCCACATTGAACCAGAAAGTGAACCAGATCAATTGCTGGTTCACCCCATTGTTTTTGTTTTGCATGTAAAATTGAGCGGATCATGTTTGCTGAAACGCAGCTAATGTGAGCTGCGAGTTCATTGATCCAGTTCAACACATTGATAGTTACTATAGTCAATTGACACATCGTAACTGAAAGCAGTTCGATTCAAACTTGCGCGATTATGACTTAAATGTCGCGCTCGCGCTTCAAGCGTTTGTGATGTCCAAATTCTTTCAAGTTCATTTCGGTCGTCAAGTTCTTGTGCAGTATGATTAGATCGGGAACTAGTTTGGTTTGTAGCATTTCGGGTTCTGCTATCTATAATACTTCGTGTTACAGGAGATAATTATAATAATTACAGGAGATAATTATAATGCAATAATTAGTGGTCATAGGCAATTAAACAGTTTGCACAAAACGCGATAGAAAAAGAAAATTTATTGAGCGTTGTTGAGTTATGCGCTTACCAACACATTTTTCGATTCATTTTTATATATAAGATTAGGACTTTATTGAATAGCAATAATTCGATTTCTTCTCGAAGTAAAAACCATTCTTGGACTTCAATGAACATTTAAAAAACAGAATTGATCAAATTGGTCCAGGTGTTGTTGAGTTATGCGCATACCAACACATTTTTCGATTCATATTTGTATACAAGATAAAAGGCATTATTTCTATTTATAATTTTATTTAAGCTTTAATCCAGGTTTTTGTGTTTTTGTTTTTCTGTAGTTTAATTCTGTTGCATTATATTATATTATTTAATTTTGCGCATTACATAATATTATGTTTTACAACAAAGTCAATATAATAAAATTATAATTTTTTCATTATTCTATTATTCATGCCTTTATTTTTCTACTTGTCTTTATACCATTTAATAGACCATTATTTGGTGCTACGATTTCACTCCGCTATTTAAGTGGCATTAGTGCATTCTCCAAATATGCAAAAACAAAAACTTCTTGTCTATTTCTACTATGATTTATTCAAAATTAACACAAATACTGCATTTGAAATCATATGTTTACTAATATCAAGTGTGCCTTCCTATTCTCTTTACTTCATATTTTCTCACTAATGCCGTTCTGAAAATTAGAGTGAAAAATTGAGCCTAAAAATGGTCTACCAGTAGACCCGCAGTGTATTCACCAAATTTGTTCCTGATGCACAGTCTATGTATTAAATACTCATTGCTGATATGTTTCAGCATTGAGTATATATATTATAAAGTAGCAATCTAGTACAATAATATAAATTTTTGTATAAGGTTGCTGTTGCTGGCAATCTTTTTGCACTCAAAAAACACTCCATTCTCTTCATGTCTTTTATTCTCAATTACTTTGGAAATTAAAGTAAAGTGCAAAACATTTCTCTCAAGTAACTTTTTTCGTTGTTTGTTATTTTGATCAGTGCTTTTTTGAATTTATTATGACGTGAATGTATGAGAAAAATATTAGTCGAGTCGTTTTGTGTGCTTTCATATTGCATATGTATTTTACTAGCGTACATATATGTTTACATATTTCTTTTGTATTTCTCAGCCTAAATGTTTGTATTAATTTTGCATCCAATATTAAGAAATTGTAAGCGTAAAAGGAAGTTCGTTTTTTTTTTTGGTTTTATATCAGAAACAATGCTATTATTATTTTTGCTTTGAAAGATAATTGTGCATTTCTATTATTTTAGCCAGAGTTCGTATTTGCGTACCCATGAGCTGCTCATTTTGGCTCATTCTGCTCACGGTTCATGAGGCGGCAAAAAACTCTTTCCATACGATAGCTCACGCTTACGAGCGAGCCCAACTGCAGAGCTTACGCTCACGAACAAGAGCCGCCATTAAATTACAAATGGGCTCACGCTCGAGAGCAGGAGTGTGAGCTGCGGCTCATGAGATCTCATGCGCCCAATTTAAGATTTTATTATTATTTTTTTTTTGTGAAAACATGTCATCAAAAAAGATTTAAAATATTAATCACCTTGAACTAAGTATAATACGGAAATAATCAAAGTTCTTAAAATAAACAATTAATATATTTGTATTGTATATTAAACTAAATATTATATATTTGTATTATTTATTTGTGGAAAATTTGTTATTTACGAAATTTTCCAGGAAGTAATATTAACTACGGTCCTATAATGACCTTCTTATTTTACCTACTGTCCTTAATGAACTTTTCACTTTTTACTATTTAAGCAAAGATATATCAATTTTTAATTTAGTCTTTGTTTGTAATTGTGTTTCGGAAAATTTAAAAATGAGTGGTTTAAAAAATAAATACTTTACGGTTTTACATGAGTGTAACAAAACAATTTGCTTACAGTGCGAAAAACAATTAAGTGGAACAAAAATATCTAATGTTAAGCGGCATTATAAGCTTGTCCATAAGAAAAACATAGGTGAAAAACCAAGTGGAAGTGAAGAAGAAAATTGTGAACTAACTAACAAAAAAAATTAAAATCATGAATTTGTAAAAGCTGATATTGATAAACATACTTTTTTGAAGTGTTGTGTCGGATTAGTAGCTTCCAAAAACTTGCCATTTAGAATTTTCGACGATAAAGATTTTTTTAAATTGTTAATAAAGTTGTATGAAAGAAAGTTTGGCGCTAATTTGAATTCAAGAAATATTGTGTCATTGCTTGATAATTCTTGCATAAAAATACAGGAGATAATTAAGGCGAGATTAACAAATAAAATGTTATCACTTAAATTTGACATTGCAACTCGGATGGATAAAAGCATTCTTTGAATAAATATTCAATATATAAAGGACTTCAAAATATATATTAACACTATAGGTAAGTGTAATAAATTTTATGTAACCTAAATGTAATAAAAATCTATTGCCAGTAAGCTATCTTTTGAGATGAGAAGAATATTCTAAAATATTCTTTTCATAAATTGTTAAATGCAAACTTTACTAACATTTTTTCACATTTTATTAAATAGGTATGATACAGCTTAAACAACGCCATAAAGCTGCGTATTTAAAGGAAGAGATTTTGAAATGCCTTCAGAAATATAACATTGACGTTGACCAAATTTATTGCAGTACAACAGATAATGGAGCAAATATGGTGAAAGTTAGTGAAATACTCCAAGATTTACAAGAAGAGCACATAAACGAGGAATTTAATCAAGAGGAGTGCAGCAATGAAACCGATGATGAAAATATTCATGCAATACTAGCAACGGTATTATCTGTTGTGAGATGCGCTGCGCATACAATTCAACTTGCAGCCCATGATGTTTTAAAAAGTCTTGAACTGCAAATTAGTGAATACAAAGATACTGTAAAGCAATTACGAAAAGCTGTTAGGGCAGGCGATATTAATATGCAAATGCCCATTTTAGATAATACAATACGCTGGAATTCGACATGTGAGATGTAAAATAATTTACTTCAAATGGGAGAGATAATAGAAGCATTACCCCTTTGGCCTTTTGTACTAAACATATGCAAACAGAGCATTACGTATTTGGCGATTTTTACAAAGACTTGTTATGTTGCGTGATAGAGTTAGAGGAATTAGTGACGAAGACACCATACGCTTCACATTTACATGAATCAATGCAAAAAAGGAAAGAAATATTTATGGATAGTGAAGCATTGCAAGCCGCGTTTTATCTTGGTCCTGGTTTTAATTTTGAAAATTCAATTATGCTGTCTGAAAATCAAAAATCAACAGCTGTGGTACGTTAAATTGCAAATATGCTTATATTTATACTTATAAAAATTATTGTTTATCAAACAAATTTTAAATTAATATTTTATGTTTTTCACAGGCGCAACTCGCAGCGACTTTTGAAAAGTTAACAAAATTGGAAGGCTTACGGAAAGTAGGAAATGAACCAGATTCTCCAAATATCTCATCTGATATGACATTTGAGTTTCCCACTATTTCTGCAGCACCTTATTCAAAATTGCAGCAGCGCATGACGGCAAATATAACAGCTAACACCGAAACAAATCGCACCTTTAAACAAAAGCTCATAGCACTTACCAACCAAAAAGGTGTTCCTCTTCATACTGGCATTTTAAGCTATTGGAGAACGTCAAACAATTATAAGGAGATTAAAAAAGTCGCAGCAGTTGCATTATCTGTTCCAGCTACACAAGTATCGGTGGAAAGAGCTTTTAGCCCACTTTCACTAGTTTTAACTAAATTAAGATCTAGATTAAGTAATAATACAATAAACAACTTACTAATAACAAAATCAAATTTTCAAGAGCTTAACTCCAAAAATATGTGCTTAAATATTTCTGATAATAATATTTTATAAATTTGGTTTTCAAATTCAAATTATTGTTTCATTATATTGTTTTAATATAAATAATAATAAGCTAAGTTAATTTCAAATTATCTATTTTCACATATAACGTTTATAAAAAAAATAAAGCAAATAAATATAAATATATCGCTTTTTATTAAACAGTTGAGCTCGTGAGCTCTCGGCTCGTGAGACCTCATGAGCAGCTCTTCAATATGAGCAACTTGAAGGCTCACGCTGGTGAGCAGCTCTTCAATATGAGTCAATTTTGGGCTCACGCTCATGAGCCAATTTTGGGCTCACATAAGAATTGGCTCTTGCTCGTGAGCCTGAGCTGCTCAGAAGTGAGCAAATACGAACCCTTGTTTTAGCATTAATTTTAATAACTAATTGTTTTGGTTCTGATTTGAAAGTGTTTTTAACCTAGATATGTAAAGGCTTACTACTTGTTTCAGTATACACTGAAATATCTTCAATATGAGTCAATTTTGGGCTCACGCTCATGAGCCAATTTTGGGCTCACATAAGAATTGGCTCTTGCTCGTGAGCCTGAGCTGCTCAGGAGTGAGCAAATACGAACCCTTGTTTTAGCATTAATTTTAATAACTAATTGTTTTGGTTCTGATTTGAAAGTGTTTTTAACCTAGATATGTAAAGGCTTACTACTTGTTTCAGTATACACATATGTATATATTAAGAGCTCTGTGTATAAATAAATAAATAAATAAAAAGAATAAATATGTTTTAAAAATTTTTGAACAATTCTGATGGTGCAGTTACAACCTTATCTTCTTTCCGTATTGTTTTAAAACATGATTGACAATCGATTTTTGATAAAACTTTAAATGCGATATATCCCAGAAAATAACGAAACGATGGAAGCTCAGTTTCTGTTATTTCAAAATCAGTTGAGCTATATAATTTTCAATCAATGTTTCACTACAATCAAATTCCGAATCATCTTCTTCCGTTATACATGAGATAGTATTTATATTTGAAATTCTATCCATTATTGCCTTGAAGGTGTGATCATCTTCTACTATCTCACAATTACCATTAGAAGAAGCCACAATAATTTATCTGGTCATTACTTTAGCTAGAATTTGATTAACTTCTGTTTTTCATACAGAAGCGGAACAATAAATTTCATACACGCAAATTACAAATGTCTTTATTAAAGCACAATTTTAAAATACAGTATAAATTTTTAAGCCACAACAGAAAAAAGATGCACACATCACCAAATGCCAGAAAAAATCAAAGAAAAAGAAACGGAAAAAGAAAAAAGCAAAAACAAAGCCAAAAATTATTGCTTGTCAGACGTCAAACTGCTACTATCAAAAACACTAAAGGAGTGATGCCATATTGCCTGGTTGTTGTATCAAATCTCAAACATCCTGCCCAGCTGGACGGGTACGTTCAGGATGCTCACAAGCCTGCAAATCTTCTGGATAGGTCGCATGCATTCGCCAGTTGAATGCTTAATTGTGACTACTCGTACCAACCTATCCTCGCCTGGGTGAAGTTTGATCACCCTGCCAAGCCGCCAATGTGTTGCTGGAAGACTCTCATGTCGGATAACCGCGACATCGTCTATGTTGATGTGGTCACCATTCTGATGCCATTTGGAACGTGGTTGCAAAGTTGAAAGATATTCGACGTGCACAAGTAAAGTATGTAGCTGATCATAATAAATTGAATGAGTGCCAAGAATGCGTAGTAAGTATTTCTTTGCTGACTTAACGGCAGCTTCCCATAGACCGCCTTGATGTGGTGCGCCAGATGGTAGAAAATGCCACTTTGTGCCTCGATTGGCCAATTTTTGTTGAGAATATTTATTATGCAAAGCCTGTAAGTCAGCAGCCATTAAACAATATGCGCCAATGAATGTTGTGCCATTGTCACTGTATAAGTGGTTACATAGACCACTCCGGTTCACGAAACGGGTGTATGCGTTTATGAATGCCTTAGAAGTTGTTTTAGCATTATGTGTTTACTACACCGCCATGAAGTGTGTCGTGATGCACCTGCCATTTTAAAAGCCTAGCCAATGTGCTATCCTTAGGAAGTATGATTGGACGATGTTGTGCTTCTGTCACCATCGCATTATGTAGGCGGCCGCCTACTCGCAATATCTTGTCCGCAGTCGAACTGATGAATGGGCTCAGTTCAATGAGCATGCTGGATGTAGATATGGGCTAAGCCTTTTCGCTTGCTCTGCCTTGATGTGGTGATTTAAAGCAATGTCCATTTTGTCTGTACAGATGTGTGTATGTGAACGAAAACGTTGATGTGGCTTTTTGGAACACAATACGTATGCAGTAGTCCGCAATAGCTTGCCAAGATTACAGAACCGGTCCAACAGATCTATGCGGACCAATTCATCGCCAGAAGTGTAGTTTGTCTGTAGTGCGAGTTGGCTTATTATCTGCAATGCCTTTACCTTAAGTGATTTTAAATCGCCTTCCATTATTGTCAGCTCTGTTGGTGTACAGTTGTGCAGCTCATTAATTGGATAATCAATGGAATTAGGATTATGCCACCATAATCTGTAGTTATGCAACGCCAAAGGGGATATGCCACGAGTGTCGCAATCAGCTGGGTTGAGTCTGGTAGGAATGTAACGCCAATGCCTGATATCTGGCACGCAGCCAACGCTATTAACAACGCACTGCTTTAATTGTGATGTGTTTTTGCGTAGTCCACACAGAGCAATATTTGAGTCGGAGTATGGAGTGTATGGTACGTGTTCCAAATGCAAAGCCTGCCTTATTTCGTGTAAAACGGTAACCAACAATTGCGCAGTGCAAAGTACCAATCGGGGTAGTGTTACCGAATGTAATGGTGCCACTTCAGTTTTTGATGCGATGATGTGACTAGTGATTTTGCCATCGTGGTTTATTGCCAAATAGAGTACTGCAGCCATCGCCTTACCACTACCATCGCAGGAACCATGAAGTTGTATTTCATCTCCTGGTTGTGTGCCTATCCATCGCGGTATTCGCATTGCCTCCAGTTGCGGCAACTGCCTTCGGTATATGAGCCGTTCTTGCAACAGTTCAAGTGGTAATGGGTGTTCCATGCCAATTTTGCCTGCCAGAGTTTTTGTATGAAAAACTTAGCTGTGGATGATATAATTTTGCAGCATCGCTAAGTACTTGCCTTTTAGTGAGATGTTGTGTATCATAAGAGCTGACCCGATAGAAGAGTGCATCGGGAAGTGGATCCCAATGCAAGCCAAGAACAGTGGTTTCTGCCAAATGTGGAGTAAGCTGACATGGATCGGCATCGCCAAGAAGGTGTGACAAGACTTCAGCGCTATTTGATTTCCATTTCCTGAGATGAAACAGTCCTTCTGCGAACACATGTGAGACATCGGTCGCCAGTTGAATTGCCATGCCAATGGAAGGTATACTCTTAAGGTAGTCATCCACGTAGAAATCATTCAGGATGCTGCACAAAGCAGTTTTAGCTCGTAGTTCATCTGGGAGTTTATGAGAATTGTCTCTGCAACATTGCTGCATATCGAGAACAGCCAAATATGTGCCACTTGTTGTGCCATATGTAACGGTAGCCAATTGATATGTGCGAATGGGTTGATCGGATGATTCCCGCCAGAGTATCTGTTGCAATTGCTTGTGCCTGCGTCAATTTTGAATTGCCTGAACATTTTCTTCACATCAGCTGTGAATGCAATGCGATGCTGCCTGAAGCGAAATAAAAGGTCGAGCAATAAATCCTGTATTGGAGGGCCAGCCATTTGTGTATCGTTTAATGAGATGCCATTATCTTTACCTGAGCTCTGAGTTGGATGCCAATTTTTGTCCCAACTGCTGAAATTGCCTGAGTGCCATTGTGCTGTTGCCAAGAGTATAAAGCGATTGAAAATAGTAGCGAATGTCTGCATTGGATGGTTTAATCACTGATGCACATGTGGTGGGATACCAGCCTAGACCGGTTTCGTTGGTGCCTGAGGTGTAGTTTGTGCCTGCTGTTTGGACTCTTGCAAAGGAGGAATTTGCACTGGTGAACTTCGGTATAGTAAAGTGTGATGTCTGCCATTGCATATGCGACAATTAGTTGAGCCACATGCCTTAGTGGAATGTCCAGGTTTCAAGTAATTGAAGCAAAGATTCAAGCCTTTGAGCAATGTGACGAGCTCCGTTGGGGGCAAGCCAATAACCTGGTGCAGTTGCCTTTTTGATGCGCTGCGTCATTGCAAAACCTGCAGTGGCCTGGAATAGTTGCTGTTAGGTTTGTCTTCATTAGACGTAAGCCTTGCCTTTTATTATCAGCCTGAGATGTGCCACGATATTGTACTGTAGCAGCCTTGCCATCAGATTTTGGTTTGCTTTCCATTGCTCACCAAACATTGCCAACTAGACTGTGAGCTCGCGTCTCCAAAAATACAAGAGAATCTGCCAAAGGAGGAATTTGATTTGTTGTGCGGGTCATGCCCCATGCCTGTTGCGTAACGGTTGGTAACTTGGCCACTATAATGGGTACCGCTAATGCATTTCAATAATCCACGGGTAGGTTCGTTACCGCAAACGCTCGCAAAGACTCTCGCACTGTATCAACCACCGAGAACAACGCAGATGTTGACTCAGCTTGTGGTGAGTTAAAGCCAATTAGCCTAGACACGTGTATTTCAGCCAACTGTTTCGGATTGTCATACCGAGACTTGAGTGCTGCCCTTCCCTCATCGTATCCGCCACTGTACATGCCTCCGACTAGCGCCACTGCGTCACCATGGACTGCCTCACGTAGTTTGCCAAGCTTGTATGCCTCTGGAAACTCTGTTTCAAATGTATCCTTAAATACCAGCCAGCTATGCATTGTAGCATCAAACTTGGGTATCGCCAACCATTCTAATTTAATTGCCAAGCCATGAAGAGACGCAGCACTGCCTGCTATTTTAGATGCTGCATCCATATATTGTGCATCACAACGGGCCAACTTACGCCGTAATTCAACGCATGTCTC